TATATATGCACCTCCCATGGGGGAAGACCTCTCTGGAGGTACATGGAAGGCAGCAGCCGGACCTACAACGTCTCAGACTAACAGCATGGCTCCTTCAACCGCTGTAGGATCTGTTTTCCCCTCTGTGTTTCATGTTATAGAAAATGCTAGGAAGCCCTCGACTAGGGCATCATATAATGCTAAGTGGGTTAAGTTTTCAACGTGGGTGCAAGACATAGGATTCGTCCCTGATTCTTGTCCTCTGGAACTTGTGTTCAAATTTTTACTGACTTTGAAAGGAAAGAAACTAGCTAACTCTTCAATAAAAGTTTATTTGGCAGCAATTTCTGCTTTTCATGCTCCAATAGAGGGGACTTCAGTGTTTTCCCATCCAATGTCAAAGGCATTCTTAAAGGGTTTGGCAAATTTATTCCCTCCAGTCCCCTCCATTGTACCTCAGTGGTCGCTTCCACTAGTGCTTTCACAGTTAATGAGACCTCCTTTTGAACCCATGGGGACTTGTTCCTTGCAGGAACTTACATGGAAGACAGCCTTTTTGGTGGCTATAACATCGGCTAGGAGGGTGGGTGAGATGGCTGCACTACGAGCAGATCACCCATATATAAAATTCTATGAAGATAGAGTGGTGCTTCGACCAAGTTTGACATTTCTGCCGAAGGTGGTATCAAAGTTTCACCTAAGTCAGGAGATAATTCTCCCTACCTTTTTTGCTTCTACCACATCAGACCAAGAGAGGCTTTTTCATACTTTAGATGTGAGACGAGCACTTTTATATTACATGAGTAGGACAAAACAAATTCGGTGTTCCCCTCGATTGTTCTTATGCTACGCTGAACAGTCCAAGGGGAAAGCAGCATCTGCACCTTCCAAAGATGTATCTGCCAAAGGGATGATTGCAGGCTGTAGATCTAATCGTCATCAGAGGGTGTTAACGATTCAGAGGTTACTGGGTCTTATGGCTGCATCTGTATTTGTGGTGCCATGGGGTAGGCTAAAAATGCGGCCACTGCAGAATTGGTTTATCAGAGCATTTAAACTGGGGGTGGATTCCCCTTATAAGTATTTAACCATTCCCAGATCAATTTCGAGGGGCTTACATTGGTGGTCCCAAGATGTCAATTTGATGCAGGGAGTCCCGTTTGGATCATCCTCTCCCAATGCAGTCCTGACGACTGATGCGTCAGATTCAGGGTGGGGAGCACACTGTGAAGGTATTCAAACTTGTGGTGTGTGGTCCCCGCTTGAATGGGAAATGCATATTAATTTATTGGAAATGAAGGCAGTAAAGAATGCCCTTAACTTTTTTGCAGTTATGCTCACCAACAGAGTACTGTTAATTCAAACAGACAACACAACAGTGATGTATTACTTAAACAAACAAGGGGGAATGACGTCTTTAGCTCTGTGCCGAGAAACAGAGGCCATTTGGAACTGGGCAATAAAACACCACACAACATTACACGCCATTCATATTGCAGGGAAAAACAATGTGACAGCGGACAGCTTAAGCCGGCTGTCAGACAGCAGATACGAATGGTCCCTCCCTGTGGAGGTTCTGCTTCCAGTATTTCAGAAGTGGGGATACCCAAGCCTAGACTTATTTGCAACGCACTTCAATACAAAGATGGTTCGTTATTATTCCAGAGCAGGGGGAGATCCAAGCTCTCTCGGAGAGTGGTTTCCTAATAGTATGTGCTACTGTAAATCGTTGTTATATTATATACATAAAAGTTATTAAAAAATAAAAACCTACATTTGCAACTGGCATTCCCACATTACTTGCAGTCTTGACTATGCAGTCCAATATATCATTTTTAAATCTTGCCCTTCCTCTAAGGAGCAGGGCAGCATACATAGCTCTTCCTTCACATTTCATCCTCACAACAGCCCTGTGAGTAAAGATGAGTGATTGGATAGTGATTGGCCCAAGGACAACCAGCCAAACGTCATGTGAACCTAGTCCAGTGCACCTAGGCCATGCCGTTTGCATCATAAAACTGCAGCTTCCTGCATGAAGGTGAGTGTGTATATAAAATTACATGATGAGAAAGCCATTGGACCAAAAAGAAAAGCATGAATCTCTTCTTTCTGAATGGCTGAAATAATCTCAGTAAGAGGAGAGATGGAATCTCTACCTCAATGGGCAAGCAATTAAAAATAAAACAGAAGCCCCATGGCACCTTGAAGACTAACAACATTTATTCCAGCATGAGCTTTTGTGAGTTAGAGTTCCCTTCTTCAGACCCAATATGCAAGAACCTGCAGGTTTTAATACAGAAAATGACTGAAGGGCAGAGAGAGGCTTAGTGTGAATATTGTCATAAATCTCACAGGTGTGATTCTCTGTATAGGGGAGTGGAACAGACTAGCTTGTTATGCATGATGAATGTGTTAAGAGGCTCAGCCTCTCATTGGAGTTCAAATAAATAAGGTATAATGAAGTAGGATAGATGTCCAGGAGTGCAGACAGACAGAGGTTTTAGTCCCAAGTACTGTAGCTGAGAGTTCAGTCCAGAGGTCAGTTACTGGGATGACAAAAGGCTGAGTCCAGAGGGTCATCCAAGGGCAAGGTCTAGCAGTCCAAGGTCATTCACAAACAAGGTCATGGCGGGTCCAGAAGTCACAGTCACGAGTCAGTCCAAAAGTCACAGGAGCAAGACAGAGCTCAGCAGTGATCACAAAGTTGGGGTATAGTGACTTGTTACTTCCACAACTCACAGTCTCCCTTGAGTGGTTTTTATAGCCCTATGCTGAACAGTCATGTTTGCAGCCAGCTGTTCGAGACTAATCCTGCAGCTACGCATCTTTGCTATCAGCAAGTTGCTGGCATGGGGCCAGTAGGCACACACTTTGTTGTTAGGGTTGCCAGGTCCTATCTTGTTGCCAGTGGGGGGCTTTGGGGACACTCCAGGAGGGGGCAGATACATCCCCGACACAATGATGTCTCACTTATGTGGGATTGGGGACACAGCCCCTTGGAAGGCACCAGTGGTGCCTGCTTGCAAAAACCATTTAACTTTAAATAGTTTTTGCAAGCAGGCGCCACACAAGTTTGAACTCCATGCAGTGAATTTGCCACTTGGAATTCAGGTGTGGGCAGGCCCCACTTACAAAAAACCATTTAAAGGGAAGGTTCCCTTTAAATGGTTTTCTGCAAGCGGGCGCTGCCCGTGCCTGAACTCCATGTGGCAAATTCACCGCTTGGAGTTCAGGCATGCAGCTGGCAACTGCCCCCCTCTCTCCCCTCCTGCGAGATTTAAAGGGCTCTCCAGCTGATCGGCGGCCACGTGCTCCCACCGATCAGCTGGAGAGCCCTTTAAATTTTGCAGGAGGGGAGAGAGAGGGGTGCCCCCTGGTGGCCACTGTTGTGGGTGGGGCTTCCCCTGCCAGGCGGTTGGTGGCAGGCATGAGCCCGTGAAATTGGGGGATCCCTTGCCCCCACCTGGGGACTGGCAAGGCTATTTGTCATCTCTCCTGTTGCTCTAATCCTAGCCTCAGTTGGTGACGCTCTAATGGTGTAGGTAATACTAGATGGCTGGAAATGGCCAGCTGAGTTACACCTGTTGAATTGGGGGCTGGAGGGTGTCAGTGGCTCTGCACCAGCTATTGGCTGTGAACTCTGACAAACCCGCACCTCATCTTCCTGCTTGTGGCTTCTGCTGATTTTGGACTGGCTACATGAGGCTCTTTTTCTCCTAAGAAGTTCTCTTCTCCTGAAGAGCCCTTGTTATCACTGAGTCCTGACTGATCCATGACAATAAACTAACCATCAAGAAGCAGTCTGAAGCATACAAAAACTAACATTCATTGTTGGAATATGCAAGGTCTGTTGTTCGTAGATAGAGAATATGACAAGAACCTCCTGCAGGGGGCAGCAGAAGGGACAACTAGTTAGCATGGTGAGATTAGGGACTTCCTGCTATTTTCCAGTAGTCTCCTTTCTGTCTTCTGATTGGCTCAGGGCTCTTTCCTCCTGAGAACTATTAGTTTACTGACTTCCTCCTAGCTAGTTAGGCTTCTCTTTCTTACAGAGTTTGTTCTCAATAAACTGACTTTATTCTTTAAACAGCTTGTGCTCTGTATTACTGCATATCTAATTCTGCCAACATTAATTAAGGGACAGAGAATGAGGATTCTGACTTGAATGGTCCAGGCTTAGTGGCCTTGGTCAGTACCTGGGGTGGGAGGCAACCAAGGAAGTCCAGAGATGCTACTAAGAGAAAGGGAATGGAAAACTAACTCTGAACACTTCTTCCCTTGAAAACCCTATGGGGCACACACAGAGAATGATTTTTTTTCTCATTTTAAAATAATCGTTAACAACAATTAACATCAAAAGCATTAAACAAGCAACAACAAGATATAAGGATCAAGTAGCCTCAAAAGTCTATTATGTAACAGTAAAAACTATTTTAACATTTTTAACATTTAATGACCAATAATGAAGAGTATGAAGTGCTGGTAATTATGCTACCTCTGTCAGAAAAGCGAGTGTGAGGACTAGATTAGAACTGGATCTTAGATGCAGAAGACTTTTGTATGTATCTCAGAGTGTACAATAGAGAGCTAGAAGAAAAGCCTAAAAGCTCACAATTTTTTAGCCTCCGGCTCACAGATTTTTGTGTTAGCTCAGGAAGGAGGGCTCCAGAGCAAACTAATTTATGCAGCAGCCAAATTGCCCGCTCACAACTTTAATGCCAGTAGCTCACAATGTAGAATTTTTGCTCACAAGACTCCACAGCTTAGAGAGAACATTGCGTAAGTTAGGTATGTGTGCGTGTTACTACCATCTAGGCAGAGAATGATACAACAGATTCAACCCTTGTAACGGGGCGGAGTTACAAGCTTTTAAGACCGCGCGGGTGTGAGGGCGGACTATTGATCCAGACTCCTGCACCAGGAGTCCGCCTCCGCCAGGGGTTGCCTTGGAACTGCCGCCATGAGGGGCCCTCCTGTCCTCCTCTATGCTCCTAGACCGCCTCCATCCGGGACGACGAACTTTGCCTTGGAGTGGAGGGATGCGGTCTCCCTTACTTCCCCGTCCTCTCCCCGCTCAAAGCGCCTGCGCGAGTCCTAAGAGTCCTTGGGTTTGCTGCCTTGGACGGCAGGCAGAGAAGAAGAGACAGCGGCGGCAGCAGCCTGGCGGCGGTCTGGGCCGGGCAAGATGCAGAATTGGGGCCGGGTCTGCTGGGCTCTCGGCCAGGTACAGGCGCAGTGGGTGGCCGTCAGTAGGTTGGGCGGGACGCGGCGCGGAAGAAGCTACCCGCAAGCCGGCTGTTCTCTGGGGCCTACCGAGCCCGATGTGTGGCCCTCGGGGCGCTCCAGCGGCCGTATTTGTGGGCCCCGGTCCGACCTTGGTGGGGCTGTGAGGATCCTTGGCCTAGCTTGGTTGCTCTGTCCCTTCCTCCTCCCTCTCACCGGCGTGTGCAGCATGCCTTTCTGTGAGGAGGTAATAAAACACCACATATATTCTTCTGACAGGGCTCTTGTTCCTTTAATGGCAGGCAGGCGTTCGACAGGTGGGGCTCTCCTCATGTTGGGCACTCTGTCGCGCACAGTAATTCCAGAGGCCGGTTGGAGCCCCAAATGAGGGGAATTGAGTGGTATATTAAAGGCTCACAAGGTTATATTTCAGCAGACGCTTTTCTGGAGTACTTCTTTAGATGCAATGTAGTGGATCCTCGCTGGCAGACCTCCCCCAATATCTGTTAAGTTGCATCTGATGAAGTGTTCCCTAGTCACAAAAACTACACTAGAAGAAAATTTGGTTATTCTTTAAAGTGCTGCCTAGACACTTGTTTTGTGCCGTGCCAGACTAAGTGCAGTCCTGTGCTGAGTAATAATTCCAGTGGGGCAGGCTTTCTGGCCTATTGCAGACAAAATGAATAGGACTTTAACAGGATTTTACTCGAGCAGAAGCTTTCATGGAGTAAAGCCCACTTATTCAGATGCCAGGCATGTATCCCTACTATGCAAGTTTGAAACTTCTGAAGTAGAATGGGCTGAAAGATTTCATACTCCTCCCTACCCTCCCCCCCCATTAGGATTTGGGATTTTTGTTTCATTCTAGCTGCTAGGTACCTCAGCAAAACCTGGGATCCCCCATTGATTGCAAGTGTTACTCATGAACAGTCTCTATATTTTTCTTGATTAGGCATGAATTTTATGTAGTTACAATTTCACTTTGTACTTTATGCATTTTGTGGTCTCTTGATCCTGCTGTTTGTTTTTTCTTTCCATGCCCTCTTCATGAAATGTCTGCCTAGTGAGGAGCCACTCACTGCATCTCAAGAAGTAGGGTCTAGTCCTTGAGAACTTCTGGTGGAATAAAAGTTTCACCTTTTCTCTAAGGTGCCACAAGAATCCAGTCCATTTTTATTAGGAACCATGCCATAAAAGGGGGAAGGCAGCTGTTAGTAAAGTGATTGACCAGTTGACAGGTATGCCAGGTACATAATATGAGAGTCATTCTAGCATGTTATAGTCCTTCATGGTGGTGTATACACCTATTCAGCTAGGAAGCAAGGCTGTGAAGTATAGGGAGGAAGCAAGAACACAACTGAGAGGTTAGATCATCAGCCAAGCTCGAGGGTTTCCCTGCCCAAGTACACCATAGATCATTGTTGCCTCTTTTAGAATGCTGGTGGTCACAGGCTGGTTGCTCAGATGTTAGTAAAAGAGCAAATGAGCTTGACATCAGTGTTTGCTTGCAGTAAAGAAACATTCTGAAGTCTTGTTTTCTATAATATAGCTTCACTGCTGAACATTTTTGTGGTAACAGCTGAATACTGTTGTGTTCTTTTGATGGCATCCATCTCTGCTGGAAGGGAGCTTATTCCTTTGACTTTATCACACAAAAAATTCAGAAATAAGGAAACTGTGATCCCCCCCCCCCCTCCACGGTACTTTAAATAAAGGGCCATTTATGCTTTGCCATTTTTGTAACAGAGAAAACCTCTTTTTGATAAGAGAGCTCTGACATTCTGTGGGAGCCTCTCTCTGGCTCCACAGTGTCCAGAGCTGTTTGGAATCTGTCAGCCTTTCCGTTTCAGTTGGTTGCATAACATTTTGCTATATGCTAAAACTGTACCCAAGACCACATTCAGATCTAATAGTGCAATCCTGAGCAGAGTTACTCCTTTTTAAGCCTTTTGACTTCAGTGGACTGTGTAAGTCTGTTTTGGATCACACTGTAAATACTGAACAGAAGTAAGTCATGGCTTATGAACTTATCTGCTTACAGACTGACAATTTAAAAAATCTCAAATTGCTACTCCTGGTAGCACTGTGAACTTCATTGGCTTGAACTAACTTAAATTCTTTGAGCATAAAAACTTTGCCAGCCTCTGTCTTTTTAAAGCTATCGGCTAGAGTCGTTATGCCTGTGGCTTTATAAATGAATATTAAGAGTATTGCCACTCCTGTCAGTGTTGATCTAGACCAGGGGTCTCCAGCATGATGCCCAGGGGCACCGTGGTGCCCGCCAACATCTTTCCTGGTACTTACTAAGTGTTTTTAGAAACTGGCCAGGTGGGGACCTTGCCCAGTAGGCCTTCTGATTGGCTCCTGGAAATCAATTTGGCTGGGCAGATTAAAATAACTTTGTTTCAGTGGCAGCTTCCAGTAGAGTGTTGGTTTTATTTTCACCGCCCCCCCCCCTCCCAGTATATTTTTGAAATCACACCCCCTTCCCTTGGGCTTTCCCTATGTAGTTGGCTCTGCCTCCTGCAGCAGTGGTTTTATGGTTGTGCCCATCATCTTGTATCAGAATTCCAAAGGTGCCTACAGGCTCAAAAAGGTTGGGGACCCCTGTTTTAGACTGTGTTAAAAGCCAGACTTTCCAAGTGTGATGAAGAAATAGCTGTAGAGAGTTGGCAACTTTTTCTTCCCTAGGACTACATGGGTGGAGGTGGGAACAGAATTAGTATTTGAATAATATTGTTCTTGTTCAGCTTAAAAATTACTTTTGTACAACAAAATAACACATTTTAAATCACTGTAAAATGCATGTCGACTGTGAAACAGTATTCTACCATGTCATGTTCAGATCCTTCAGTAAAACCCTTCTCTTGTGGGAGAACTGAAACTTGCCTTTCTTCTTTTTTCATTAGAGAAGTCATTGTGGCCGGATTCATGGCTTACAAGGTATTTCCGCAGTGCCTTTAAGGACTTACGCTGATCAAGGTAAATATTATTTAACCTTAAATTACTCGCGAACTAAAAAAATGGAGTACGTGTTAAATGCTTTTGTTCCTATTTCTAAGCTGCTTTGCAGGATAATATACAAACGCATCTACTCTACTGTATAGAATTGTATAACTACGTGAATTCCAGAGGTGGCTTCTCAAGCTGCCTTGTCCTTTGGAATGCAAGTACTTGTACAGAGACTACATGCACTGTGTGTTGGCAGAGAAGAGTGCATCCATGTTAATGCAGCTTTGTTTCCTTTGGAAGGCAGCATTCAGGAGCCTAAGCCTTTCTAATAGTACAGTGCTAAGCAGTGTTACTCCAGTCTAAGCCCATTGACTTCAGTGAATTTAAAAGGGCTTATCTCTGTTTAGGATTGCAGTGTACGTTTCTACTTCTATATATTTTGGGGTGGAAATTACTATCTGCTATATATTTTTCTTAGTTAATGTGTTGTCTACATTTTGGATTGGTGTGCATGTCATGGACATTTCCCCCAAAGACTAAATTACTCATTTTTTAAATATTTCCCCAGCAAAAATTGGCAGTCTGACTTTAATATTATAGGCAAATAAATCAAGAACAGGCCAGCATTATTAAAAGTAGTAGCACAGCTCATTATATCAGAAGGAGAGTTAGTGCAGTATATCATGCTGAAGTATCTGCAACAAGATTTCCTGTTTTTCTTAAATGCAGGTTAAGGTTTTTGGTCAATTTAGAATTAATGGCATGCTTGTTGTTAGCCTACCTTATCTAAGGCACAGTTGCACTCCCTCACACCAGCTCCCCCTCACACCTCTCACCTCTTACTGCCCCCAAGAAAGCTCCTGGCAAACGTCGAGCCAGATACACCAACGTTACAAGGAGGAGGACACTTAGGAATTAGGCAAAGACATTTGCACATAGCACTCCTGCAGTGCACTGAGCTGCACAGGCCAAGTACCAGTAAGCTCACCCTGAGGTGCTCAGAACAACACAGTCTCCATATGAGCAAAACAATCCAGGAACACAAGTAGAGAGGCCATCACTTTTGTGGAAGGTAGCAGGAGTGGACTTAACAGACGACTGCTTCTTAAATGGACAGTTCTATGTGGCCCTCTCCAGAGTGAGCTCATCAAGCAGCCTGGTGATCCTAGCACCTGAGGGCAGAACCACCAGTGTGGTCTAGAGAGAGGTCCTTCAGTAGAGAGAAAAGTACCTATGTCTCACTTCATTTCTTACACTACAATCTTCTCTGTTAGAATTCCTACAACAAATGTCACATTTCAGATTTCATATCATCAGTATTATAATTGGATTTACGGAACTTACGTAAATACCGTAGCAAAGCATGGGTAGCAGGCTAGTGAAAAATAAAACCAAAATAATACAACTCAGAAAAATTTTAACAGTTTTCTCATCTTCTGTTCAGATTTTTTCCCTTTATTTAATTGGAAATAAATTAAGCTTTATTCCTTCTTTCATTTAAAGGCCAGGTTGCATTATCTTTTTCTTAACGTTTCAATATGTTTGTGAAATAAAGTTATATTTGTAGAAACTAATTATAATACAGGATATTTTCTAATATCTTGAAAAATATTGCACCTGTTTTTTCTGTTAGTTGATGCTGATGTTACAGTCATTGGATCTGGTCCTGGAGGTTATGTTGCTGCCATAAAAGCTGCTCAACTTGGCTTTAAGGTGAGGAAGCATGGTAATATGTCAGGTATTACAGTGTTAATCCACATGATCTTGCAAAAGGTTCTTGCAATTATGTCAGAAGGCAAAATATTTCTTAGAGCGTGACTGTCTGCATTCTGAGGATTTTAATTGCATTGAATACAGTACAGAAATCTTTGCACATACTGGGAAGTAAAATTGCTTGCTTGAACAAGTGCTGTCATGCATTTTAAGGCTGTTTGTAAACGATGTGTAAATGGACTGCTTGGATAAATGCATTATCTGGAAGGAAGGCACTGCAGATTAGTCAATTTACTAACTTCTGTTTTTCTGATTCCATCATGTAAGGGTGTAGCTTGTATTATTTTATTGGGGTTTTTTTTGATGCCTGTGAAGGGGGCTGTCATCCATTCCCTCAACAAAGGAGTCTGATGCTGTTTCTCTCTAACAGTTCGGACCAAATTATTTCTGTCTTGCCTATTTAGAGGATCTGACAAATAAATGGCCATCAGATCATTTGCTTTTAAATAGCCAGGTTCCACATTTAACCATACTTGCAGCATTCTCTTAAAAGTGTTCTTAGCATCAGTTGTAAAAACTTGCTTTTTGATATGTAGCACATGGAATGCTACCCAGCAAATAAAACATTCACAATTACAAGATTATTACAGGACTATACTGAGACCCATTTGATCTTCGGGGGAAGATTATAAACAAAACCATCTGTAATTTTATAAAAATGCCTTTCCTTTTCAATTTTAGACTGTTTGTGTGGAGAAAAATGAGACATTAGGTGGAACCTGTTTGAATGTCGGATGTATACCTTCCAAAGTAAGTACTAGTCTCTCATGTTATTCACATCTCCATTGAATACAGGATGAAAGTATAAAAATTATTCTGTAGATGTACTGATGGGACTTACCTGATTCATGGTAAGGAACAGAACAAAACTTGGTCATATCAACATGAATTGAGAAACTGTATTAAAATCTGGGTTTTGGATCTGATTATGCCCTCTTTTATATAAGAAAAGAAACACAATTGCAGATTTAATGGCTGGAGAACCTGGTGGAGAAAGTTGCTTGTGACAAGCACTGTGTCGCAAGCAACATATGTTTGCTGGTCTATAACCTGCTCCAAGGTAACTTTTTTAACACTGAATGAAGCTGTCCAATGAGCAACCCAAATCCAGCAGCTTCTGCCATTCACCGTGTGTCTATTTACACCCTGATCTATGTGTATTACTGGCAGTCGTCAAGCAGCTTAGGGTTGGATAGTATAGATCTATGTGTACTTCTGAAAAGTTCATGTGGGTTTTCAACCTACTGTCTCCTGCAGTCTCTTTATTTTGATGTCCTTCACTTATGATAGGCAGTTAAAGAAGGATTAAATGCTGGCCTGGGATAGGGAAACTGAATTTTAGAAAAGTAATAGCTGTGGTTGCCCAGTGCTGCTAATTAGAAAGGAAGATTAAGAAGGTGAGGATTGTTTTTAGTATCTAGAAATTTAATTTCTGAATCTTCTGGAGTTGGGGTTTTCTTTATAACCCCTTTTCATTTGTATACAGTATACATGAAACACTGACAGCTTGTGCACATATGCACATACTCTTGGTTATTGTCATGACCAGCAGCTGAGTGTAAACTGGCTCCATTAGAAAGGATTTAGGTGATGCAAGAACTTTGATATTAGTGATGGCCCATTCACACGTGTATCGCTGTCATCAAGTGATCAATACATGTGTCTGAAACGATATTGCTAGCCAAACCAAATTACTACATTCTGATCTTATAACTAGCACTCATGTCAAACACATGAATGTTGGCTGTGTAGATTGTGTTTAATTCTTCTGCTTGTTTGTTTTGATGGTAGGCCTTACTGAACAATTCACACCTCTATCATTTGGCCCATGGCAAAGACTTTGCTAGTAGAGGAATTGAAAGTAAGTATGCAGTACACCTCTTGGTATGTCAGCAAAATGTTTGTAGTGGTGGGGGATCCACTAATGCTACCTTTTAACAATCATTGTAGAACTCTATGGGCAGAAGGAAAATATGCACATTATTTAAAAATAGAAAAATATGAAATATTATTTAAGTATTATTTAAATATATATAGAAGTACTATCCAGCCTGCCAGTTAGTCAAGATTTGGTGTCTGTGCAGAGGTGAGGCTGGTAGAAATCAGAAATGGGGCTTTTCCAGCTGTGGCACCTTCAGCAGTGGTACCTTGCTCAGGCTTTTAAGTAGGGAGGTGATCTTTGAGATTGGTTTTACAATCTGCCTGTAGCCTGAGGACCATTATGAGAATAGGTGATGGCTACCAAATGTGTTAATGCTTGTTGGCTTTTATGTGTGGTTGTGCTTCTTTATTGGTTGGGCTTTAACTGTGGTTAATCTTAGTGATTTCCCCCCCCCTTCTTATGGTTGTGAGCAGCCTCAAGTGAGTCTCTGAAGAGGTGGCATACAAATAATTTAAACAAGTGCTTGTCAGTTTATCCCAGTGCCTTTGGTCAGGTCATTTAGAAAGGAGGGAGCAAATTATTTCTTTCCGAGAAGCCGAGTAGAACATCACGTGTGCTCCTTGTATTATTTTTATGTCAATAAAAGAGCTGGAGGCTGAGTCTTGGATCCAAGAACTGTGTAAGACGTTTCCTGTGTGTAGCAGGACTTTGGGTTTGCTTTAGGCCGTTGAGTTCTCTGGACACCTTTTGCTGATCCTGTGGAACAGTGTGTGATGCCTTGTGGGCCTGGAGAAGGGAATAGGTGTCACTCAGTGACTTCTCAGCCCATCCTACACCAATGAAGGCTCTTTGGATCCAACACTTACTGCGTGCGAATGTGGTAAAGACCTAAGCTGAATATTCAGGGAAAAGATCTGTGTCTTTACCACATTCACACACACGTAACTCTGTGGGTGCGTTCAGACGCGGCATTTGTAGCGGAATAGGTGACGATTCCAACCGGTGTACTTACCAGCGTTCACATGGCGAACATCTGCCTCCCGTCCCTAACCGTTACAAAGCCATTTACACCGTTGTACTCTGCCACTAGGTCCCAAGTGGTGGTAAACAGAGTACAACAGTGGCTTCCGATACAAACCAGCGTCTGATCGCTCTCCACCGGTGCCTAGCCACTTCCGTCGGAAGCCTGAGGCTTCCGGCTTTCCCCCGCCATTTTTTTTAACCTCTAAGCGATATGCGCTCAGGCGAAGCTTTGCCCCGAGCGTTTGTGAAGAAGAAAAAACAACCCTTACTTTACCGTCCCGGAGGAGTCCGGGACTGAAACGAGGCCAGGTTGGGCTTTAAACTTTAAAGGTAAGTGCTTACCTTTAAAGTTTAAATGTAGGGGGGGGGGGTTGAGCATGCGCAAAAATCGCCATTCTCTGAATGGCTGCCTGTGCGCATGCTCAAACAGTCCTTAAAAAAAAAAAACACAAACGCCGACGCCCGCAGCGTGTGAGCAGGCGTCCAACGGAGGGCTCCGCAAAATGGAGGGTGAGTATGAACGCGTTTTTGCCGGCATAAACTGCACCGGTTCCAACCGGTGCAGTTTCTGCCGGCAGAAACGCCCCGTCTGTACGCACCCTGTAAGTAACACACTTAAAACTCTAAAAAATTATCATTGTTAAAACTAATTCATTTCTATTCCTTATAGTAATTGCTGCTTCATTTTGATGTTTTGTCTGTGATATACTGTGGTATACCTATGAGAGCACTGTAGATTCAAAAGGCTGATTGCTGTAAATGGGATAGCTTCTTAAGTTAGTAAGAGTAATTTAGACCACTGTTTCCCAAGCTGGGGAATGGAGTCTTGTGGGGGGGCTGTGGAGTTATTGCAAGGAGTCTGTGAATCCATGTGCATTCTAAGTATTGTTATTTTGATCAGTCAGTGCATACTGGTAGTGTAACAATTGTCATGTGGGAGGTCGACAGAATGTTTTGATGTTAAAAAGGGGCCATAACTCAAAAAAGTTGGGAGCCACTGGATTAGACATCTTGCTGTAGTACATAACTGAACTTTAAATTGCCCTTTAGTGCTGAGTGTTTAAGACTACAAAATACCACACACACACACCTCTTGTATTTAAAAAAGAGCATTTATAGTTACAGGGCTCCGACTGAATTTAGAGAAGATGATGGAACAGAAGAGTGGTGCAGTGAAGGCTTTAACAGGTGGAATTGCTCATTTGTTTAAACAGAATAAGGTATGTCTGGCCTCTGGACTACAGCAGCTTGTCTGTTTGTTTAATGCTAATAACAAATAATGGAAATAGATTCTCTTTGTCCTCTAGTGTTTTACTTAGTTTAGAGGTAGTTCTGTGTGGGTTTTTTGTTTGTTTAAATGGCTGATCAGGCTGCCAGGATAACAACTGTAAAAAAGGTAAAGGTTCCCTTGCTCGAAAGCCAGTCGAATCCGACTCTAGGGTTGCGGTGCTCATCTCCGTTTCAAAGCCGAAGAGCCAGCACTGTCCGAAGACATTTCAGTGGTCATGTGGCCGGCATGACTAAACACCAAGGTGCACGGAATGCTGTTACGTTCCCACTGAAGTGGTACCTATTAATCTACTTGCAATGTCTTGCTTTCGAACTGCTAGGTTGGCAGGAGCTGGAACTAGAGACGGGAGCTCACTCCGTCATGCAGCACACTTGCCATTAAACATGCAGGGATCCTCATAGTGATTTTGGATTTGAAAATAGGGGTAAACTGATGGCGAGTGCTGCAGGAGAGTGTCAGGAATCTGGTCCTTTTTGCTATCTCTTGTCAGTTCAGGATGAGGTCTTGGGAGGAAATCATGGCTAGCTTTGTTTCTAGTTGACAGTAATTTCCATGCTTTCTTCACGTTTTTAAAAACAATTGGCTTTTAGAGTTGGGGCATCAGTGGAATCTGATAACCAGTGAAGGACATTTCTGTTCGGTGACTGGAAGTAACCTTAAAGATAGCTGCTTGAAGTGTCTTACTGCCTTTATAGATATAATTTCAAATTCTTTTAGAAGGATAAGCTGCAGTGATGCCATAACTGATGTATGTTTGGGGTCATAGTAAGATATTTCTCAGTTTATTTGCTTTTAAGTGGAGTAAATATGTTTTCTTTTGGGAAGGTGACGCATGTGTCCGGTTTTGGAAAAATAACAGGGAAAAATCAGGTCACAGCAACTAAAGATGACGGCAGCAATCAGGTTATTAATACGAAGAATATTCTTATTGCTACAGGCTCAGAAGTAACACCTTTCCCTGGAATTACGGTATGCCTTGACTTTGAATTTTTCTTGACAGTGATCTGCTGTCTATTTATTAGTTGAATTTTTGCCCTGCTTTTCAGTTTAAAAAAAACTTTGTTCCCAAAGCGGGTAGCAGCACTTAAAAACTAAGAGAACTATCAGTTTAAAATACAGCTTTAATAAGGTCTTCTTGATCCAGGAATGAGGGTACCACCTCATTCTTGTGCTGGGTTTTCTTATGGCCGAGGGGCTATTTTTAGCCAGCACCAGGCATGGTATGTGGATGTTTTCAGATATGTAACATGTTATTGTCTGGTAGGTGTTAGATAAATCAGTGGCATTTTGTATACGTTCTATAAATTATTTTTGTAGGAAGGAGATAAATTCCTCTCCTCCTTCTCCATTTATTTAGATTGACGAGGACACAATTGTATCATCTACTGGTGCATTATCTTTAAAACAAGTCCCTGAAAAAATGGTGGTCATTGGTGCAGGAGTCATTGGTGTGGAACTAGTGAGTAACATGCTTCGCTCTTTTTAAAATACAAATTTTCCTGTGTCTATAAACTTTGTAAACTGTTTGTGGCTTACTGGGGTTGTTCTCATGGCCCTGGGGCTACCAGCAGCTGGGATTGTGCAATTTGTTTATATGGGTGCCACTTTGCACAGCAATTGTACAGTCTTTTTTTAAATTGCCATAATTGCAGAATGCATGACAGCTGTGTGTTCGCTTCTGACATGCTGGTGGAGCATCATACAACCCAGACTACCATGTTGGGTTGCCATTTTGCATTTTTTAACCATTCCAGGATTATAGGAGATTAGTTGCACTGCAGATTTTTGCTGGGGGATGCCACAGAAATAGTAATTTTCAAAAAATGCAAGAATATCTTTATTGGCAGACTTGACAGGGAAAGTAAAGGAGACAATGATGTAGGGATTAGAGTCTGATTTTCAGAAGGCTTCAAGGGTTCTTGTTTATGGATACACTTCCAGTGCAGCTGCTCATGTTATTCAGACAGAGGATGGTATCTTTGTAAGCTTTTGTTTTTTACAGATAATTTTTGAGGAATAATTTTTCGGGCTGGGTCATCTTGCTGAAAAAAACATAAATAACTGCTACAAAGTGTAAGAGGTCATTATTGTGTCTTATGTGCGAGAACTCAGCTGATCTGTTAACTTGCTGTTGCATTTCAAATCTTAAGAACTTGACCAGTTAGTAGAATTGTCACTGGAGCATATAGACATTCTGTAGACTGTAATTTCCACAATAATTGCTACCCTGTTTAAAAATTCCTGTTCTGTTTATCCTTGGTGGGCATTGCTGTTAATAAACGTATAGGCAACTTTTCCTGAAAGTTCTGCTTCTTAATCTTGGCTTTTTTGACCATAGGGCTCAGTGTGGCAGCGTCTAGGTGCTGATGTAACAGCTGTGGAGTTCCTTGGCCATGTCGGTGGTTTGGGCATTGATATGGAGATCTCTAAGAACTTCCAACGAATTTTACAGAAACAAGGGATTAAATTTAAACTCAATACTAAAGTTACTGGTGCAACCAAGAAACCAGATGGAAAGATAGATGTTTCGTAAGTACTCAGCCAGTGTTGGACTTGTAGCAGTAGGATTGCTTTCTCCTGTAAAAACCGAGATAAGCCAGTGGTCAGAATTGGAGCAAGAAAAATTCCAGAGATCTAGTATCCTGACATCTTAAATATCTATGGCTGGTTCTTATGATATTTGAAATATATTTTCAGTGGTGTGGGATAAAAACTTGTGATCTCTCTAGCTATGATTAAAAATGTTCATCATAGAAACTGGATATAGTAGAATTAATATATACTGGGTTGGAGCCAAACAACTGTGAGTGTGATTCTGATTATATAATAGATCTTGGCCATATCGCCTTTCATAGTAGTTCTCTGTGCCCTCTGTATATCACTTCTGAGAGTGGTATCCTCAGGGGCACAACTGAATGCGGCATTGCGGGTTTGGTTGCAGTGGGATGATGGCATTATGGGAAATGGTTCTGTCTTTTTGCACAGGACTCCACACATTCCATTAATACCTTGTTCTTAGTATCAAAGAGAGAACTTGCTTATAAGAGAACTGCTAATCTTGGATAGCAACTAGTAACTGAGGAAAGTTACTACTTATGTCATCTGTGTCTGATGCTACACAAATTCACAGTGACGTTTCTGATGTTAAAGGCATTAATTTAAGCCTTGTTCCTATTTATCTCAAAGTGTGCAAGTTCCACTATGATGATTCCCCCAGGCTTCCCTTTATCTTTTTATTGGCTTAGCAACCCCTTTTCTTTCTTTTTTCTCTGTCTGTCCCATCCAGTTGAGGGCTAGCTAAAATCCTTCTTTTGTTTTTGTCTGATAATGGCACATAAGATGCTGATGGTAATTCAAAACTAACAAACTGCTTTATTTCACTTTTGAGGGGAATTGGTCAAGTAGATATCAGGTTTAGGACTTAGAAGGTGAACAGGTAACAGGGATGAGGTAACTTTGTATAAATATAAACAGTAGATAGTTTGTCACAATCAAGTAGGTGTTTGGTTATACAGACAGATCTTTAAAACTGAAGGGAGATTTCTTGGCAGTCACTGCTTAATTAAACAAGCATAAGCTTCTTGGTTTCAAAAATACTTAAGTTTGTGAGGGCAGGAACATTCATACAAGTTCCAGTTTTCCTCCTTAATCACTTGATAGGAATCATTCCTCTTTACTAGGAGCTATTTCCCTCAGTGGAGGGCTACTTGTCCCACTTCTCTAATACAGGATCTTCCTTGATCCTCTCCCACTGCTTAATTTTCCTTCATTATTATCACTTCACTCTCAGCTGTCATTCTGAACTGCCACTCTTAACTGCCACTGTCAGCTGTAGAATTCCCTTTGAATACCCTGTCACTCAGGGTTCGCAGACTGGGTAAAAGCATTAACCATTTACTGTCCATTACACCCACATATTTTGTGTGATTGTTGCCCTTTGGAACTGAAGTTGAAGGTGACCATACAGGTCTGACACTTTAGATAGTTGATTCCGTCCCAGTAGATGTTTGGTTGGAGGAGACAATTATGTACTCTTGTAATCTGGAAGCTTCACACATTTGAAGTAATTTGAATGTGGCATGGAACACAAATGGAAGTGGTATAATACCATCCTGGTCATTTGTGGCACGACTAATGAGCTACATGCTCAAGACAGTCAGGATGGTAACAAGGTGGAAACTGTGTAAAGGGGTGTATAAGATATTGTGTTTTTTGTGGTGAAACCCAGTAATGTATTTGTTTATTAACTACTATACCATGTTGGCCCTCACTTTTTTATGTATCGGTGTAACTAGCCGGCCTCGGCCGGGAGGGCGGGGTAGAAATTTTAATTTAATCAAGATTACTACAATGACAAGAATGTCAAAAAAAATCTGTCTGGTATGGCTTAACCCTACAATGACTAATAACTCTAAATAACTTCCTATCTGATCTCCCATTTATTTTTCATGTAATTATTCTATATCCATTAGAAGAAGGACGTAATTGGGGTTCAGAGACCCATGATTCATTAACAGCATGTAGTATCTCTGTTTCTTAGGACTTTGTTTCTTCTTTTATTCCACAGGATTGAAGCCGCTGCTGGAGGCAAAGCGGAAGTGATCACTTGTGACGTCCTCCTAGTGTGTGTTGGCCGGCGCCCTTTTAGTAAGAACCTTGGTCTGGAAGATGTGGGTATTGAACTAGACAACAGGGGTAGAATCCCAATCAACAACAGATTCCAAACAAAAATTCCCAAGTAAGTGCAACAAAAGAGTGTCTAGGTGGCTTACTTTTGGTTTTTATTCCATGTGTTGTTGTTTAGAAGTTGGGAGTTTGAGTGTAAGATACAAATTAGTTCCCTGTTAAGTTAACAGTTGGTTATAGGTCAAATGTAAGAACATAGTTTGAATGCAGAATGTTTTATAATTGATCGAATCAGACGCTTTGGTGTTTTCTTTTCCCATGCCTACTCTACACAGCACTGTATAGATTGCGCTACTACTAGTAAGAATAATTTATATCTATTGTGACAGCACAGAAAGGGCAGTCCAGACGGATCTATGTGGGCCCCTCATTTGCCTGCAGGTTAAAGGAAATTTGTAACTACATATTGCTTGCTTTATCTTGCTTGTTGCGTCCTAGAAAATTAAAGTTTCAAATGAAGGTTACAAATATCAAAGATAGGACCTTTAAGGGTACTGTTTTTTGTTTACTTAGCCTATTCCAGCTACAAATGTCTTGCATCCATGTCACTGTAGCTCTCAAGGCTTATTTTCCATTCCTTCAGCAGCAGTATTTAACTTGGCTTCATTTACCTGGCAGTATCTACGCTATTGGTGACGTAGTGGCTGGACCGATGCTTGCTCACAAAGCTGAAGATGAAGGGATTCTGTGTGTCGAGGGAATGGCTGGAGGTGCTGTTCACATTGACTACAACTGTGTGCCCTCAGTAATTTACACACACCCTGAGGTTGCTTGGGTCGGCAAATCGGAAGAACAGCTGAAAGAGGAGGTACCATGCCTGCTTCGTTTCACTCACAGTGCAGTTGTGGGATAAATACGAAGTTCTTACTGTAGAGAAAATGTACGTAACTTAAACTCAGCTTGCAGTTTGAGAATAGTTTTGCTGGGTTTGTTCTGTTTTGGTTTTGTTCATAATTCTTGGTTGCTGGCTAGGCTTTGTACTGAGTAGCAGTTCCATATGTAATTTGGGGGGGGGTGGGGGCAGTGTTCCCTCTAAGCTGAGTTAATGTGAGCTAGCTCACAATTTTTTTAGCTTCTGGCTCACACATTTTTGTCTTCGCTCAGGAAGGAGGGCTCCAGAGCAAACTAATCTATGCAGTAGCCAAATCGTTCACTCACAACTTTAATGCCGTTAGCTCAGAAAGTAGAATTTTTGCTCACAAGACTCCACAGCTTAGAGGGAACATTGGTTGGGGGGATTTGCTTGAAAATGCAAACTGCCTTTTACAGAACTGACATGGCAAAAGGGCAAAGTGAACCTTGAGTCAGGCCCTCTATCAGTATCGGAGCCTTTAGCTAGGAAGACGGGATGCAAAGAGCTAAGCCACAGGTGTGGCGGATTCTGCAATCCTAACCCAAGTGCCCCTTTGTCACTTAAACTAAACTGCATCCATTGCTTTAAGGTTTTTTTTGACAGATCTGCTTGTTCCCATGCCTAGTCTGATACACTGCAGCACAGACACACATTTAGGCAAGCTGGAAGTGGGGACTCAAGATGATGTATATGCGTATAAATACATACATATCCATGTCTGTTATCTCTTATCATCCATCCATCTAGCTACACACACATGTATTTACACCCCCCCCCCGAGAAGAATACAGTCCATTCCTTGAGTTTTCTGTGTGCTAGGTGGTTTTTGGAATGCAGGGGCAGTCAGGCGCCAGCTTCATTCTGCAATGTCACACCTCATAGACAAAGGTTTGCCATCTCAGCAAGAACTAAGATTTCATATTGATGTTCACTATAGGAAAATCTCTGGCTGCGTAGACTTGGTTTTCAGGTGCAGACTTACAATAATTTATAGTAATTCTTTGTTGGCATTATTTTAGGGGACAGAATACAAGGTTGGAAAATTTCCATTTGCTGCAAACAGCAGAGCCAAGACCAATGCAGACACAGATGGCTTGGTTAAGATTCTAAGTCACAAGTCCACAGACAGGATGCTGGGAGCTCATATTCTAGGCGCGGTGAGTATGGGATGAGAATTGTTCCAGTCCTGTTGCTGCAGAATTCTGAGATCTTTAGCGTCTGGGGTTTAACTACATAGTACTGAGCTGTTTTTTCCTGGACCCCAAGCCTTGGTTGGCCATTGTAAGAATCGGAAATAATTTTGTGTCCCTGAGACACTCCTTGTAGATATCTAGTATTTCTCTCCTGTAGCCAGCCCTGCTTCCTCTTCCACCATTTTTGGAGTTCTCTGTATTCTTTCCTTCTTGCATTTGCAAGGAAAGTGCTTAAATGTTTTTAAAAATCTGCAACAGATTTCATAGGCAGTTCTAAGTAGGTAAATCTTTTTGCAGCATTTGAATGTTTTGCATGGAAGAGGTTTTTAGTTCCTGATCTGGGGTGTATCTTGCCCATGTCCTTTTGCAGCTGAGCAGTGTAGGGTAGGGTGCTTGGTATAATTATGTGTTGGGGATCTTTCTTCCCCCTTTTTCATCCTCAGTGTTATGTGCTGGCAGAACCATGACTAGCAAAGTGTAACTTATAACAGGAGTTAACCAATACATCTAAGAAGTTGTCATGTACTTTATAGTTAGAGATATTGTCCTGGCCACCAGGTGGGAGGCAAGTCCCAGCAACCACAGGGTTTCCCAGCAGGGATTTTCAGATCCAATGACAGTCCAGTGTCAGACTCCAGGTTCCAGTGATGCAATCCAAATGCAAGGCCAGAAGGCAGTTGAAGGTCTCCGTCTAGGGTCGGAGTGCTTGTTCCAAAGGCAGGGTCCAAAAGCAGTCCAAGGGTCAGGTAAGGAGGTTTCATGAATCAGTCTCAGGTCAGGCAACTGGTAGGGCCTGCAGCAAGGCTGCAGGCAGATTGATCCCACATTGGCTTTAGCCTCACTGCAGCTTTATTATATAGGGCGTTTTCCCAGCAGGTGAGGCTGGTCCCATGTCTGCGTCTTTCTAATAAATAAATAAATAGTTGCCAAGCTCCTCTCCACAAGCTGAGTCAGCTCCTTTACTGACGAGGAGTAGTGGGGGCCAGGTCCTGCAATGGCTTATTAGTTTCCCCTGGCATTCCCTCGAGGGGCAGAGGGAAGCACGCCCTCCTCCACCTGGTCCAAACCTCAGCCCTTGCAGTTTGCCTTCTCAGCCCCTGGGATCCTTCAGGAGACCGTGGGTGGGTCCGGCAGTAGGCAGGTCCGTGCTGGAATGTCCTGGCCTGAGGGCCCTGCTGGCTCAGAGGGTAGCGCCTGTGCTAACTCAAGAGTCCCTTTGGGGAGGCCCTGAGATGGCAAGACCATTCCTGAGAGTCCACTAAGGCAGGGCTCGGTGGCAGGTTGTCCTTCTCTTTATTTCTTTAATTTATTTATTCCTCCTCTGATGAGGACTCATCTTCTCACACGAAACCCGGTGTGGTCCATAAGAGGTGTGTCTGTCCTTGGAAAAAATATCGAGCCAGTGTGTTGCTGATGTAAAGGTAAAAGTTTCCCTTGCTCGAAAGCCAGTTGAGTCCAACTCTAGGGGGCAGTGCTCAACTCCATTTTCAAGCCAAAGAGCCAGTGCTGTCCGAAGATGTTTCCATGGTCATGTGGCCAGCATGACTAAATGCTGAGGCACATGGAATGCTGTTACCTTCCCACTGAATGTACCAATTTATCTACTTGCAATTTCTTGCTTTTGAACTGGTAGGTTGGTAGGAGCCGGGGCCAGAGACGGGAGCTCACTCTGTCCTGTGGCACTAGGGTCTCGAACTGCTGACCTACAGACCTTCTGGTCTGCAGCTCAGTGTCTTAACCTCTGAGCCACCGCACCTCCAGTGTTGCTGATGAGGAGTGGGTAATTATTCCTGATTCCTCTTTTCGCTGCAGTCCCCCACCCCCTATGGTGATCAGTTTGAAAGTGTGGAAGCATTGTCTCCCAAACCAGTGATCAGGAAGGTTTCAGTGCTCTGCATACCTTACTGTTGTTTGTGATGAATGAAAGCAGAATAAATTATGCAAAATTGCACTTAATTCAATTAGGTCAACTAATTAAAATCTTTGAATAAATTTAAAAGATATCTCTGATTAATCAAACAGTAGATTTAAAAATATTTCTTAGTACGTTTTAATGCAAGTATTTAATGGAACCGTGAGAAGCTGATCACATTGTGAAAGAATTAACAATGACACATTTAATGATTCTGTGAGCATCAATTTGTGAAGCTATTAATCTGACAATATAGTTAGAGAATTCTGACATAAGCAAAGCAAAGTCCAACATAATCATATCCTCGAGCACACAAGTTTTTGCACTCATTTCACCAATCTTCCTCATGAGTAGTCTTATAAAGTTGGAAGGTGTCAACCTCTAGGTTCAGCTTAGTTTCTTTTTTTAACCAATATAGCTTCTTATTTTCTTCTTTGTCAAATTATCCTATAAAAAGCATAGTTATAAGGAGTGGAAAAAGACATGAAGCTGAATGGAATAGTTTTGTTATCATTTTTAACTAGAATAATTTTAGACTTACTTTCAGTTCCATTGCAAGTACTTGAATGGCAGCAAGCCAATTACTAAATTTATAGTCGTAGCAGCCAGTCCAAAATTTTTATGTGGCAACAGGCCTACTTTAAATTGCCTGGCATTTGCTCTCTGTCTCACGTTGTTGGCTAGTAGCTCTCTATTTTTGTTTGTTGGCATGAATCTCCGCACTATGACCCCTTCTTTGGCTTTTTTCACATTGTGGAAGAGGCATCCATCCCCCTACCTGACTCTCCTAGAGGGGATGGTGCCTGTTGCAACATGATCTAAAGAAAATTCTTTATTCGTATGAAAATGTAATAATTGTGTCAAAAGCCAGAATCTGTTGGCTAAGATTTCCTTGGTAACAAGCCTAAACCTTTCCAAAATTAATGTGTGTAAATTTGCATAGCTTATGCAGATATGAAAAAGGATTTTTTGCCATTTTTGTGCCGTTCTATTCTGATGTTTTTCATCCTGGGTTTTCTTTGTTTTATTGCTTGCTTTTCTGTTATAGGGTGCTGGAGAAATGGTGAATGAAGCTGCTCTTGCAATGGAATATGGAGCATCATGTGAAGATGTAGCTAGAGTCTGCCATGCCCATCCGGTAAGTGGGTAGACTGTTTATTGTTTTGCGGATTAGTCAAGGATCCAGCTTGTGTATGCAGCAGCCACTTTCCATCATTGTTTTTCTTTTTGTTTTCAACAGACTGTATCTGAAGCATTCAGGGAAGCCAACCTAGCGGCATCGTTTGGCAAGGCTATCAACTTCTAAAAAAAGGAAATCCCTAATGTACAAAGCACATTTTTTGGTGAAAACTGATGGAGATCTTTGTGGAATGTTGAGTCTTTTGAATACTTCTAGAACTGAATTAAGTGAACTTTTTGTTTAAAACATGGCATATTTAAACAAATTAGGGGTTCGGAAAATAATGATTTCACCCAGCAGCTGTGTATACAACATGTTTGTATTGTTAGCTTGTATAAAGTTCTGCAGAGGACAGACTGCAACAAAGGCATCTCAAGGTTGTGGGCGACTGAAAGGTTCCATCATGTATCTGGGTAAAATATACTGGCTGATACTCTCCAGTGCTGTTGCTCTGTCATTGCTAAGGAATGGGGATTTCAGTGTCAAGTTGGCACTTTAAAATGCGTTACTGTCAACTTTGCACATTGCAGTTGTGGTTTCCAAACTTTGTGAGCCTACCGGCACCTTTGGAATTCTGAAACAGCATGGTGGTTGCAGCCACAAAATCGTGACCATACAATGGCTGCTGCAGGAGTCAGAGTGAGTCACAAAATGTATGCTGCACCTTACCTCGCGTTGCAGTGGCAGCTGCTGCTGAAGCAACATTTTTTAAAAATCTCCAGTGGCCAATCAGAAGCCTTCCTGGCCAAAAGACCCATCTGGCCCTGCCCCCTTCTGGAAGCACTTTGGACACCAAAAAAAGTGCTGGTGGATGCCATGGCACCCATGGACATCACACTGGGGGATGTCTGTAGTGAAAGAGGGGGCAGCAGTGTATTTCATCACACCACAACCTCTTTATTACCTTGAAGTAAATCTAGGATCATCCTATATCATAGAGGACTCCTAAGAGACTTTCAAAACTGATTTGGCTGTACGAATAGCATTTGTATCTCTGCATTTTTTTCATACTGAAAAACCCTCAGGTTTAATTAAATTGTGCAAAATAAAATAAAATCTTGGAGAAGCAAAAAAATGAGTTGGGAAACAGTTGGGAAGAATACTTGTGAAACTTCCCAGCTTCATTAAAAAAATTCTAAATTATTAGCTATAATGAGTAAATGCTGTCACTGGGAGGGCTTAGTATGCTAGACAGAGTGGGAATTGTGTTTTCCTTCATGCAGTCTGTGTTGGCAACATAACTTTCATGCTGTATGATTTACCCCCCTGTGATGCTGGCTAGTGCTGGTTCTCTAGACAAGTCCAAGGGTCCTGACTAGACCATTAGCAGTAAGATGATAGCTAAAAACACTTGTGAGGCTCCCTGCTTCTTTACTTTACATTCTGCTTCCCTGTTCCTGCATGGTGGGACCCAGAAAAGTAGGAAGTGACTAAATCACAGGGAGCACGAATCTTCAGCAAGAAATGAATTAATTTTTGAACGTCTCATGTGAACCTAAAATTCCCACTCCTAGTGGAGGCTGCCTGCTGCAGCTCTGCCTGCTTTGCTGCTCCCCAAACCTTTTCTTCTTCAAATCTACTTCTTTTGGAAGCCTGTAATTTGATATGAAGGGATTGCAGAAACACAGGACCTGGAAGGAGGGGGACTCAGAAGGGTGACATAGGCAGGAATGGCTGGAGGTGTCATTGTGGCTAGTTCTGATTCTTGAACATTTTTATCTATCCCCTCTGAAGTTTTGGGGTGCAGGGATGCAAGGTGGCTTTAGTTTTTAAAGAAGTAAGCCTCAGCTACCAGAATTTGGGGAGCCACAGCTGTAAATAGAACATAATACTTAGTAATTGTATAGTTCTTTGTTCAAAGAACAATTGAACATACTGTACCTCTTCCTCCCAAGTTACATATATGGCCTGAGTGTGTATACATTCCAAAAGACTCTACAGCCATGCTCTCCAACCCCATGTAACCCTCATGGCAATTTGTGACCCCCCCCCCACAGAGCTTTTTGAAAGAAAGGCTGACACAAACCGTGCAAAAGGTGCAATACAGCCTGCTTCTCATTGCATGCAGCCTGAGATGAACAGCAGGCCAAGGAGGAGAGCTGCTCAGCAGTGGAGACATTTTCCTTTTAGCAATGGAAAGGGCAGCAACAACTCCCACTGCAGAAGCTTTCTCTCTCTTTCTTCTCTCTCCCGTCCTTTCCTTCCTCTCTCACTCGCTCTCTTTCGGCCTCACAATTCTCGACCTTTGCTTGTTGGCCCTCCTGTGCTCTGTGCACACTTGTAGCGCAGAGCCAGCCTGCACTGACTCCTACTGTTAGAGATACGACTATATTGTCATGTGCATATGGCCCTGAAGACTGAAGGGAGGTGGAAAAATTTGAGATGAGACTTGAACTTCCCATATCACAGCTCATTTAACCAAAGAAAGTGATTATTTGGGTTTCTTAGTCACATAACCCATTTCTAGTATCCACTAGCCTGTACCATAATGTCACCTTCAGAGATCTGAGAAAATAGTTCCCCGGGGGAAACTGGGGGGGGGGGGGGGGGGAGAAAAAACAAATCCCTTCAGCAGTGTGCCAATAAACAGTCTTAAAAGGAATGAGCAATTTCAGAACAAGGGGTCATTATAAAAGGGTTCTGTGATAAAGTAATTATACGGAAGAGTTGCTGGAATGATGTCTCTTGCATCAGGATATTTCTTTAGTAGTTATTACATCTTCCCCTCATGTTTACTGCTCTCTTAAAACTTCTGTGAAAGTGAGATTCTCTCAACCCCCATGCCTGCAAAACCTGAGCTTTTCGCACACACACACACACACACAAAAGCTTTGCGTGACCTTGGCCATGCAATGAGTGAGTTGAGATAAACATTGGTAAATCTGAATGGCTGGAACTTTTGGGGGGCTGGGGGGGGGAATGTGGTTTGGGGAGTTTTTGCTAGTATAATTCATGACACTCTTCCTGGCTCTTGCTTCATCAAGAAGCAGTAAGACAACAGTGCTGCAGAGTGCTTATATCCCAACTGTCACCAAATGGATTATTATTTATTTAGTACCAAGTTTTACAGAGTGTGTTTTACTGGGGAAATGAAGCAAAACCAAAATGGCATGTCGCTGTTCCAAATAATGTTCACTGAGACTACTCAGCAGTGACCCAGGATGGTATAATTCCTTCCCCAGACTAAAACTGGGAAATTTAGTTCAACCCATCCCCTGGTATGTTGTGCTTCAGAAATCCTTTTGAATTTTTGTTTTTCCTAATGGAAAACTGTGGAGGTTCAGTGTTCTTTATTACGGCGGCGGTCACACGGGCAGGAAACTGCGGGTGGGGAGTGTGGCTTTTTGCCCTGGGGCAACAAACCCCGCGGCAGCGGGATCAGATGTCCCTGAGAGGTTCCAGCGAGGTCCCGTGGATAAGGTGGAGGTGCCGATCACACGAGCATCCGCACCTCCAGCGAGAGCCGATGGGAAGGGGATGGAAGGAGCCGCCCCCTCTGGGAGGGCCGTGCACTGCCCACTCTGGGCAGGGTCCGTGGGCCGCTCACAAGGAGGGGAAGAGAGGGGGGAGTAACCCGCCGGGTCCCCCCTCCCCACCAGCATCCCGCCTGCCCTCCCTTCCTCCCCCCGCGACACGCGGCCCTCTCTGCCTGGCCGCTGCCGTGCACCCCCATCGCAGCCCCCTCTTGACCCTAACAATGCCGGGCGCCTTTGTGCGCATGTGCTGTTGAGGGCTTCGGGAGGCATGGGGGGGAACCGCCCGGCAGGGACGCGATCAGGCGCCCGCCCTTGCTGCGCAGTTCCCGGAAACTAGTACCTCGGAGGTACTAGTTTTTTACTGCGCGGCTTCGGACGGTAGCCATGGAACAGCCACGGGAGCTCTACGCTCCCCAGATGTTGCGGTGAGATCGCGCCCGGAAACTCCGCCTCTCTTCCATCCCTCTTGCGTGTCTAATGCTCCGTGTGACCGCGGCCTACAAAACATTTTAGAATATTACGAGCAAACTGAAACTTGTGCATTAGATACAAGTTCTGTAATACAACATTTGATAAATTTGCTTTTAATGGGGATGTGGCAAAGTCATATAAGGCACTGGGTTGTTGAATTGGAAACCAATACAAAGTTACACCTTAGAAGGTAGACTCAGGTGGGTAGCTGTATTCATCTGAACCAACATAACAAAGTTGGAGTCCAGTGGCACCTTTAAGACCAACAAAGTTTAATTCTTGGTATAAGCTTTCGTGTGCATGCACGCTTCTTCAGAAAGGTGTAACTCTGTTTAGGATGGCACTGGCATATGCCCTTTGGCTCCATGAGTGCAGAGTTGGCCAGTGGACAGCCTTGCAGTATCCAGCTCCTCCCTTAGCCCACTTGCTCAGTCAAACAGAACTGCCTTCAACTTGATGATTCCATGGAAATGCCCACAGCAGTAAGCAAAGCCCTTCTGGCACAGAAAATTGGTGCATAGTGCCTGAGCTCAGAGAATATAACCCTCTAAACCAAAAATTGATTTATTAAGTTCCATCATTTGAAGCTAAGATTTTATTAGCAGAATATTTTAAATGGGTTAATCAAATTCATTCTTTGGGATAATTAAAGTATTATCATTTAAATGAATCATGCTTTGTTACAAAAGTACTGTTTTATTTTATAAAGAAGAGAGAAGTTCTTTGGTTTGGTTTGGTTTTTTAAAAAAAGATATTAAAACTAGTATTCAACCTGATTATACTATCCATTTAGGACACGTAAACTTTAAGAGGGAATGAAGGCTTTACTTTTTCCTAAGATATTCCTTCTTTCCCCAATTACTAACAGGTGCTGTAAACGGCAACTTTTTGGCTAATGGCCTGCAAAAGGCCACGGACTGTTTCTTCCAGCTGTACCAACTGCTTGGCCTTTTCTTCCAGGACTCTTTGGTTCTGTTCATATGTATTTTCCAATTCTGCAAAAAAGGAGACATTAGAGTTAGGTTAATCTAACAGCAGGCTATGAACATGGGACAGTCTGGGGGTGAAACAAACGGGGTCTTCTCGTACCAGTTGACTGGCCCTTAATATGGGGAGGGGCTTCTAATAAAGAATAGGAACAGCTGCTTCTCATCATGTTTGACTATGATGCTGAGGAAATGGGGAAGCAGAGCACAGTGCTGTAATTGAGAACACATGACTGGTGTCTTTGTTTCTGGAACATTAAAAGGCTCTTTTGCTATTTTTTTTTTACCTCTGAGCAGCTGAAGTTTGCTGTTTGCTTGATCTAGCAGCACTTTAGCTTCATTCTGCAGCGCTGCTGCTTTCTTCTGGGCATCTGCAGACTCCCCTGTTTTTTTGGCAATTAGGATTTCGACCGTTTTATACTTGTCACTGACATCGTTGTCTAAGACCTGCAGTATGAATTTCAGACACAAGATGGCAGTATTTGTCAGACAGTGCAAGAGGCATTACTGTAATAATGACCTGCAGACCAGAGAGGGCCCAGTGCTCTGAGCAGGCGCTGTAGAATGGGATTTCATATTCTCTGTGGTTCAGAGCACGTTTTCCCCCTTTCTTGCCACTATTTCCTGCGAGAAGGAAAATGTGCCAGCTGTGGCATGCTATTCCCATTCTTTCAAACAAGTCAGTGAGGATGCTGTGGCTCTCATGACTAATGCCATGTGTATGTTTTGTTGTTCATGGCAATGGCTGACCTTCTAGCTAGAAAAATGCCACAGCCGGTTTTAATCTCTTTGTTTTATAAGTGTGCTCCTGACAGTAAGGAAATTATAATTATTTTAAAGCAGAAGAAGAATGGCATAAACTGTGAAGAAGCTTTTTTTGGGGGTATGAGTTTACTCTCAGGAGTGCATGACAGGTGAAGATTTCTATTGAGATCAGCTTCTTCTAAGGGCCCTCCAGGAAGATCTCCCATAGGGAATAATGGAGCGAAGTAATATTGGAATCCTCCCCCCAAAACAACAACAACAACACAACAACAAAAAACACACACTCAGCTCCAAACACCAATCCAGCATTTGGGATCCAGATAATGGGGAATACTGATGTTTTCCAGCTCCTTGATACCTGGATCCAAAAAATACTGATTTTTTTCAAGGTGCAGATCCCTGTTCTAAATCCTTTCCTAAAAAAGAGTACTAACCAATGTTTCGAAATCCAGACAGTTTGCTTCTAGGTTGCGTTTTACAAGACTCATTAAATGCTTTGTGTTGTGTTTTATGCTCTGGCTGGGTCTTTTTACGGTTTGTTAATTGTAATTATTTTTATGCTGTTATAACTATAATGTTTTACTTTGTAAGTGCCTTCAGCAATTCTTTGGAGACGTGGTGCACACATTTTGCTGGATAAATAAATGTTGCCTTTTTTTGGCAGTCAGCATTGACCCAACATCCCATTCATCCTCTCTGACACAATGCCTCTGCTGCAGTTGTCATCTGAGCCCCTCAACCACTGATTCCTAGCCACACAATGGTTTATAAAATTTTAAAATACTCTTTTTTGCTGATGGCTAAAAGCAGAATCCAATCCCCCTGCCTGAAGAAAGCTCACACTTAGGACTATGCAATACTGAGCACACAAATGTTTGGTTTGCTCATGGAACGTTGGGGTGTCAGATGCTTCTTGTTCCCTGAAAGGTTGCTAGTGGGTGTTGGAACCAAGCTAACAACAAATTTGGATCAGAGACCAGTGCATTTCTGTACTACCTCTAGAGAACCTGCTCACGGTGGCTTACAAAATGAAAGATTATGATAACACACAAAAAAAGCACAAATATTATTACCAATCCATAAACTATTTCAAAATTCCACCATTAAAAACTCATAAAAAGCATAAAAACAGTACACAACCGTGAACGGTTTCAAATGAGTCTCACAAAAACAATTCTTAGACTAGAAGCGGACCATAAAACTGATGTTAAATGGCCAAACACTTAATTACAGCCTCCAAGAGCCTCAATTATGACCTTGTCTTTTCAGTATTGTTGATGACGGTTTGGGCCAGAGTGGATCTTGTTGAACTTTCTAAGCTTTCCAAGGCAACAGGCAAGCCTTCCAAGGCAACTTGGTAATGAAGCAATTTTTTTAATTTCAAGATTTAAAAACCCTCCCAAATCTCAAGGAGGAAGGTCTTACTTTTTTAACATCGCCAGTAGTTTGATTGACAGAAGCAACAATTTCTTCAACTGCCCTAATGTCCTCTGCGTTTGTAGCAGCTTTTTGTTTAAGCTGTTCCACATTCTTCTCTAGTTTGGCAATGCGCATAGTAGCATTGTTCAGGGTTTCTTCTGATGCCGCGGTTTCAGATTCAATCTAATAGTAAAAAGAGAACAACAGAATATTCTACAGAACTCCAGCGCATTAGGAATAGGCTGATTTATTTCACCATTTCCTTGTGTTTTGCAGTGTGCCTGAGCACCATGATGGTTACTGGGACACCTGCCAAGTACAGCTCTCCCCACAGTTCACTTTGGTTTAAAAGGAGGGAAGAGGAGTCTCAACATACCAAGTGACAAAAAAATTACAGAGCATTCAATTTGCCATGATAGATGCTTGAATGACAGCCTAGGGCATTTAATCATCTATATATCTATTTCTCAAGTATGACCCCCCCCCCCAAGCTGGAAATCTCTAAATCCACAGATCGGGGCCATAGTGACATGAAAGATTTTCCTGCAAACTTCATGGCCCACCCCCCCAGGTTTGCAGAAAAAACAAATCTTAAAAATACATTGGGGAGTTTAAATTCCACCACCCCCCAAATAAAAAAGTGTCTGCACATGTGCAGACAGTGCACTTACCTTTCTTCTTCAGAGCTGGTGGCAGATTCTGGGAGCTGCTCCAAGCCCAGACCAGCTCCCAGACACCATCACCAATGCAACCAGGCCCAGAATTCTGGAGCTGTGCCTGGTTTGGCAACGGGAGCTGCTCTGGATACAGAGCAGCTTCCAGACACCTCAGCTGCCGTGGCTGGTAAAGTAAGGAGGGAGGAGAAAGAGGGGGGAGGATATTGACAAGAGGAAGGGGGAATAGAGAGGCGGAAGGTTGACAGGAGGGGAGAGGGATACTGACAGAGAAGGGGTGAGGGAAAGAGGGAGTAGGGGAAGGGGAGATTAACAGAGAAGGTGTGGGGGGTAGCAGAGAAAGGAATAAGTTGACAGAGAAGGGGAGGGGGAGAAAGAGGTGGGGAAGATTGACAGAAGGGAAAAGGGTAAGAAAGTCAGGGAAGATTGTTCAAGAAGGGGGGAGAGGGAAGGGATGCACCCTCCCCACAAATTTCTTGCCGGTCCCCACTTGTATATTCTAATAGCAAAGTTTGGCCAAACCTGCAGATACTTAAATCTGGTGAACAGAGCTGTGAACGGATAAGACAAATCTTTCTACAAATTTGCAAAATGCCCCAGGTTTGCAAAAATTGAATCCTAAAAAAAATAAATACAGGATTAAAAAACCTCAAAATGATAAAAGGACCAGCTGTAGCTTTAAAAAAAAAATTGGATGCTCTCATTGGCAGCTGCAAGGAAACCACAGCATTTTGGGCTTGATTTCTATCAGCAAAAGGCAGGGGGAGGGATCCTATCCAGGTCTGTTTGGGCCTTTGCAGGAGGGCTCATTAGGCCAGGCCGGACAGCAACCACTGGATGACTTGATACCACCCTGAATACAGAGAGACAGATAAAGATGGGTTGGCTGTTTGGTGGGAAGGACTGAAGGAGGCAGGAAAAGTGGACAGGCTATGGGGGCTTTCAGGAAAGGAAAGAGGAAATAGTGGAGGAGAGGTAAATGAGGTGCCCCCCACAAACCCTTGTGGGTTCCCGCTTGTTATGTTTTGCATTTGCACAGTCCACGAGACTGATCATGTCTGGGTAGCAGGTGCATCCTAGCCCACCCACCTGGGCAAGAATTATTTAAGTCATTTTTATCTTGATATTTGTTGCCAATAGTTAACACAAAAAAACCTTATGAAAATTACCAATATTAAAAAGTGCTTATATTGCTTATCAGTAACTGTCTTGAATGCCATCTGTTGAAGCCAGGTATCACCAAGGAGATATCATCTCAGTGGCCATGTGTCCACATGCTGGGACAGTAAGAAACACAACAAGAGATCAAGCAACAGAATTATTGTGCCACGTCTGATCAGATATGGCCCACAGCCCATGTGACTGTCCACCCTGGCTGCAAAGGACCCTCCCAGCTCTCTTGCCTTCAGTCCATCTGTGCAGGGCTCTTCTGGTTTTGGCCCCTAGTTGACTTGTAGTCATCAACAATCCAGTGATTTGATTTTCGCAGTCTCCATAAACTGTCTATACGAGGCCATATCAAATTGAAATGGCCCGCTGAATACTTTCATGTTATTAATTACAAAACTAAACAGAGCGAATTGCACGATTATTACTGGGAGAGATGAAGAAGGAAGGGGGCGTTTATTTTTTATTTATTAAAATATTCATACCCCACCTTTCCTTTTGCCTCAGGGTGGCTTCTTCCAGTGCTGGTAAATCTACTGTAGCTTTTCTGTTACATAGGTTGTGGCTCAGTGGTAGAGCATCTGCTTGGCATGCAGAAGGTCTCCGGCATCTCCAGTTAAAAGGACCAGGCAGTAGGTGATGGTGACAGACCTCTGCTTGGGACCTTGGAGAACTGTTGCCAGTCTGAAAAGACAAGACTGACCTCAAAGGACCAATGGTCTGATGTACATATGGAGACAGCTGATTGCATTTAGCAAAATTTGAAGAGTCTGAGGGTCGTTTTGCACATGATGCGGAAGCGGGCAGACTGCCACGAGTGTGCTGCATCTCCTCTTTCCACGCTTTTAGAGTCTTATGTGAAAGGAGAGCTGCCTATGCTGTACTTGCACTGGGAACCTGTATAGCCACAACGCAGCCTTTAGCAACTGCTTCAAAAAACAGAGTTCAACAATGAAAACTCACAGAGGTAAGAAGGTCTTGCGTTCCCTGGATATCTTCATCTGCTAGTCTGATGGCCTTTTGAGCTGCATTTTGGGCTTTTTCAGCTTCTTCTAGAGCCTCTTTCACCATGTCTGCAGTGACTTTAACATCTGTTGCACTTTTACTGGGTGATGGAAATTAAAGCAAAAAGGAACAATGTTAATGACATTCAAAACAAGGAATTTTTTCCACTTCATTTAATGTGCAACAGACTTGTCATTGCCCTTCATAGGATAAAGCATTTAGATGAAAATATGAAGATGTGGGACAACTGGTTCCTTCAAATTCAACTGATGCAAGACAGGTTCACTATCAGTCAGGGTGTAGTAAGCTACCTTGCTTGCTTAGCTTCATGCAACAGCATCTTTGCCCGTGCAATATCTCCAGAGCTCTGCTGTAGGACAGTCTCAACATCAGAAAGGCTTTCCACTCGCTCCCGAATATTGTCTGCCAGGGCCTGTAGTTGATCGGGCGTGCTGGGCATCTCCATGTTGAGCACTTCATTAGCAACTGCTTCAATGCTGTCCAGATCAGCACTGTCTTCTGTTAAAATGTCAAACAAACAAAAAGAAAACAATGAGTACGACAGAAGACTGGCAGCAACTCTGCTGTTAATTTATTCCATACAGGAGCTGGCAAATGAAATTGCAACTCAGTATCCAGGAAACAAAACAACAACATGATGGAAATGTTCACCTGCCAGACCTGAAGAACTTTATCTTTGATTAACTGGCAGATGTCCTAGACTTTCTGCAGAAGAAAGGTTCCCCATGTGACAAAAGGGAGCCATATTAAAAATGTTAGTGGAAGAGGGGCTGTGGCGTAGTGGTAGAACATCTGCTTGGCATGCAGACAGTCCCAGGATCAATCCCCTCCAGGTCCAGTTAAAAGGGTCAGGTAGCAGGTGATATGAAAGGCCTCTGCTGAAGACCCCAGTGAGCCAGTGCCAGTCAGTAAAAATACTGACCTTGACAGACCAATGGCCTGACTCAGTACAAGGCAGCTGTTGTATTCAGTGTAATGTGAGAATCTGGCCCCAGGCATGCAATGAATTCTGACCACAACTACCTACCAAAGATAGTGATCTGGCTTCCTTTATCCTAAGATAGAAGTAAGATGTGTGCATAATTATCCACATTCTTCCAGCTTGCATTCAGCCTACTTCAATACTGGGCTAAGCAACAGATCATAAACACTAAAAATTGGTACAAACGAAGGTATTCACTGCACAAAGAACTCAGTGAGTAAACACAGTCCATTTCAGCATCCCACTCCCCAGTGCATTTAAAACTGGGGTGATGGTCCCTTTTTCCTCACTCTGTGTTCAAGAATGATGCTACATAATGGCATATGAGGAGGCTCATTCAAGAGTATCTTGGCTGGTAAGAGGAGCTGAAGCAGTTTTATAAACTGTTTTCCCATGACATGGTCTGAGCCAGCCATCTTGGATGCTCTTGCTTAAGCCATAGCAATGTTTTCCTTCCCTGTTCAAAAGAAAAGATCTACACCTTTGTTGCTACTGCTGCATCTAGTTCGGCTTCACTTGTTTGCAATTTGATACAAATACACACACAATTTCTCCTCTGGGGAAATCCAGATACTATGGAGTCAGGTGAAACTAGGAATGTTTCATCAAATAATTACCACCACTAAGTTCACGTCGCTAATTGCAATTGCAGATCCCCAGAAAGCAATACTTTCAGAGAATGTGACCTTGGCATTCAACTGGAATAGAGTTTTCCTGTCCGCAGAGGGTAATATTCACAGGAATTTAAGTCGCCCTGGGGAAACTGCTCTGATGTTATAGAAGGATGAAGTAGATATACCACCAAGCTATTCAGACCCAAGAGGAAGGGAAAGATGCAATGGGACCAGAAAGGAAGGGTGGATACTGTGGGAATCAGCAGTCAGAAGCCACGGTCAGCTAGAAGATGGAGATGAGAATCGGTGGACTAACATTTAAGATGCTCCCCCCACCATCTTTGCCAGCAACCAACAAATCCCAGCTTCTTAATATTCTTCTGGGCACTAACAGATTCTTGGTACAAAGTGAAAACTTGTGTCAGAAAACCTGAGCTGCCCATTTCTCTGCAGTTTTCAGAACAGCAATTGGGATCCTTTAATTAAAATGCACAGAGGGAATAAATTAAACCAATGGACTATGTCAACAGTGACCAAAATGTAAGGGGAAAAAAATCCCCACAGACCTTTCAGTGAGTGACAGATATCTCCCTCCAGTCCTCTCTGCCATGCACACTCATTCCCATTTTCACATATTTTTATGAATTTTAAGTACAAGCTGCTTGGGGATCCAGTCCGTCTGGAAAGTGGGGCATGCATAAACACAGGCAGATGACCTAGGAAAAGAGCAGGCAGGAGCAGCAGGTCCCGGGGCCTATGGGCAGCTAGGAAAAGCGGTTTAGAATGGGAGTGGTGCAGAAGGATGAAGGCAAGAAGAGAAGGCCAGAGGAAAAGTCTGCAGTCTGGGAGAGAACGTGGGCTGGGAGATGCAGGAGTGAAGAAGGTTAAAGTTCACCTACTGATTTGAAATAATCAGTCAAATCTTTGACTGCAGGCTTCCGATTTAAAAAATCAGACACTGAACTAATGTCTTGAGGAAAAGGAGGAAGAGGAGGAGGATTTCTTCAGAACGGAGATGTATCAGGAGCCCAACACTATCAAAACAGTCCTTACTCATCAGAAATTCTCGGATCTGCTTAATAAGGTCCCTTAGGTCCCTGTTGCTTCGGTCCACTTGCTCCTTGGTTGCATTGGTCTGTAGCAGAACTTCTTGCGCATTCCGTTTTGCTTCATCAGCCCTCGCCTTTGCTTCAGACACCTAAGCAGATTGAGTAAGATGGACCTCTGTTTACAATTTCTAACAAAACTAGTTTTTAACATCCCCCGCCAAATACTGAGAAACGTGTTGGCACTGAAATTGCATGGGAGATGATGTTTTTCATAAAATCCAGTAAATGCTCTTAAAACGATGGAGGTACCCAAAACATCAACAAATCTCTTGAGCAGCCCAAGCTACTGTAAACAGTTTACAGATGGGTGAATCTCCACTCAATGCAGATCCATTTACGAGAGCGCTTATCTGAATGCGGTGTAAATGGAATGAACAGTTTTGTTCACTTTTGCCTAGACTTGCACGAACGCTTTTATGTAGCTTGTTTCCATTCTAATCATTCGGATTTGAGCTACCTCTTTTGTTTAAAGTTACCATTATGGAGAGCAGTTCAACGTCTTCGAGAGCAACAAGTATGTCTCTGTCAAAATCCATGGCTTTCTGCCAGGCATTGTGGGCCACAGTAACCAATCCATCACAGCCAGGTCCCCCGCATTTCTTCTTTCCCTCCTCCGTTCGACAGTTCAGGCCGCCACACTCTGAATCAGCACAGGAAGCCCCAGGGGGAGTTCCGCATGTCTGCAACAGACAGGATTAGACAGAAGACTAGAGTCAGAGGTTATCACCCTTTTGAAACAGGATGAAAATCATTACCAACAGCACAAAGCAGAATGGAAATACAACTGCAATTACATTCTGGAGGAAATATTTTAGTTGTCTCCAAGCACTGCTTTGAGCTACTACTTAACAACACTCACTCATAATTTATGTAACAGGGTTTTTTTTTAATGTATCACTGCTGGTATTGTATTTATTTCTCAGCTTGTGTTTGACTGTAATAAATAAATCATTCATGCACTACATCATTTCCTCTCACGGAAGTACTTTCCCTAGGATACAACATGCTGGGGTGAAGTGAGGGAGAAATCGTTATGACACATAGTTCTATAACCAGTTTTGTTTATAATATTCTGTAGAATACTATACTGGTATCCTTTTTGGGCAATGCCCACTGAAGCAAAACTAAACAGGAATCTTGTGGCATCTTAAAGACTAGCAACATTTTATTCCAGCATTAAGTCTTCATGGTCTAAAGTCCTTGGACTTATGTTGAAAATTTTGTTACATCTTTAAGGTGCCAAAATACTCCTGTTTAGGTTTGTTGCACTTTCCTCATTGGCCATATAGCTGTTTTTTTTTTTTTTTTTTCTTAAAGACTAGCAACATTTTATTCCAGCATTAAGTCTTCATGGTCTAAAGTCCTTGGACTTATGTTGAAAATTTTGTTACATCTTTAAGGTGCCAAAATACTCCTGTTTAGGTTTGTTGCACTTTCCTCATTGGCCATATAGCTGTTTCTGCTCCAAATTACTTCATATCATCAACAATATCAGTTTCTCATCATTACAATCTAAAGATAACATCATTTGACTTAATATTGATCTAAACATATTAAGTTTTGTTTCACATCCCAGTTCTTTTCCAGATAAATTTTAAAGTCATTCCATTCTCCAAAAAACTCATCGTCTTCTTTGTTATTCAGTTTTTTTGTAATCGTTGTTCAAAAGAGATATTGGCCTGTAGTTCTTTACATTTGTTGAATCTTGTCCTTCCTTTGGAATCAAAGAAATAATTGCTTCTTTCCATGAGTCCGGCACCTTTTTGTTTTCTCTTATTTCGTTGGTTAAAGCTTCCAGGACCGGGGAAATTTCTTCTTTCATCTTTTTGTAAAATTTCGCTGTAAATCCATCCGGCCCAGGCGCCTTCCCCAACTTTGTCTCTTCTATTGCCTTCATCACTTCTTCTTTTTGAATTGGACCATTTAATAAATCTTTGTATTCCTTACTTATTTTTGGTAGTGGAATCTCCTTTAAATATGTTTTAATCTTCTCAAGATCAACTCTAGTTGTTTGGAATAGTTTAGCATAATACTTGAAGAAACATCTCTTTATTCCATTAGGATCAACGAACTCCTTTCCATCTTCTATTATTTTGGTTATCATTCTTCTCTCTCTTCTAGCCTTAAGTTGCCAAGCTAAGTATTTTCCCGGTTTGTTCGCCCCTTCAAAAGATTTCTGTTGTAACTTCTTTAAATTCCAATACATTTCCTGATTCCAAGTCTCATTCAGTTGTTCCTTCAGCAACTTTAATTCTTTAATAATTTGCTTTTTTCCAGGCTTCTTTTTTAATTCCTTTTCTTTCTGAGCAATTTTTTCTAACACTTCTGTTTGTTTTTGAAGTTTTTCCTTTTTTTGCTTCACGTTTTGCGAGATGAGAATTCCTCTCATCACCGCTTTATAAGCATCCCATACAATCTGTATCGGTGTTTCTCTATTTAAATTTTGTTGAAAGAATTGTTTCGTTTCTTCCTTTAACATCTCAATTACCGTTTTCTTATCCAACAAGTCTTCATTAATCCTCCACAGAAAGGGTTTTTTCCTTTCTGTGGAACTCCATACCACCGGATTGTGATCTGAATTACATCTTGGCAAAATTTCAGTCTTATGTGTTTTCATTGATAATTCTTCAGACATCCAAATCATATCAATTCTGGAAAAAGAGCAATGTCTATTGGAATAAAAAGTAAAGTCTTTCTGCATCGGGTTCCATTTCCTCCAAACATCTTCTAATTTTTCTTGCTTAACTAATTCAAAAAAATTCTTTGGCAATTTTCCGCTGAATTCGTTGTCCTTTTGTGGTTTTCTGTCTAGACGATCTATTGTCCCATTAAAGTCTCCGGCCATAATAACTTGCTCATAAGTCAATTGTTGTAATTGGTCAGTTATATCCTTAAAAAATTTTTCCTTTGCTCCATTGGGTGCGTACACGTTGATCAACAATGTTTTTTTCTGCTGAATCATTAATTCCACACCCACGTATCTGCCATCTATGTCCTTAAAAATTTCTGTAGGTTGTAACTCCTTCTTCACATATGTCACAACTCCTTTTTTCTTGTTTGAGGCCGCAGAACAAAATTCAATTCCAAATAAAGCATTCTTTAAATATTTTATATCCTGTTTTCTAATATGTGTTTCTTGCAAGCATATCACGTTGCATTTCTGTTTCTGTATCCAATGATTGATTCTTTTCCTCTTGTTTGGTGAATTTAATCCATTAACATTCCATGACAACAATTTGTACTCCATTATGCGTTTTATTTTAAAGTTCTCCAAAGACGTCCGCATTGTCCGCCTTAAATTTATAAAAGTCCATCATCGATCTGATCTGAATCCTCCCACCTTGATACGTAAAGGATAAACCTTGTGGAATCTCCCATCTATATCTGATGCTCAAAGCTCTGAGTTTGTCCGCCAAGGATTTATACCTTTTCCTGTCTTGCAGTATTGTTCTTGGGAGTTCTCTCATCACCATAATTTTGTTTCCCTCTATTACAAAAGGGACGTTGAATTGCTTCTTGAATATCTCCTCTGTTATTGATCTTGTTACAAATTGTACAATTACATCCCTTGGTAAATTCTTCTTTTCTGCAATTCTGGAGTTCACTCTATAAATCAAATCAAAGTCTGAGTCCATTGACCCTTCCTCCTCGCCCAGAAAAGCCGTTATCACTTCCATCATTTTTTCTTTTAAGTTCTCATTCTCTGTTTCCTTAATGCCTCTGAATCTCAGATGAGTCTGCATCCTTCTGAACTCCATCATTGTCTCTGATCTTGTAATTTGTTGAGTCAAAGAATCTTGTTTCTCTTCTATTTTTTGTATCTTCTCCTCTGTCTCTGTAGTCTTGGTTGCATTTGCTTGAACATCCTTCTTAACTCCTTCCATTTCTTGCTTGATTGAAGTTATTTCTGTAGTAACCAATTCCTTCAATGCTGTTATGTTCTTCTCTTGGACTTCTTCTAGATGTTTCAGATGAATCTGAGTTTGCTTCTCCAGTTGGTCCCCCAATGTTTTTTCTATCTGCTCCCCCATGGCTTGTATTGCCTCTGTCATTCTCTTCTCCATTGCTTCCATGGAGGCCTGCATCTCTTTTTTCTCTCTTTCGCTTGACATTTTGGGGGTTGAAGTAGATCCAATCCTAGGTCTCACAACCGGTTTAAGTTCTGGGTCTGAGTCGGCTCTTTTCTTGCCTCTCCTGGTCTCCGTCTTGGCGATTTCTTTTCAATTCACAGATTCGCAAGATAAAGCACTCTTCTAGATGATAAGATTTAGTCCTCCATGCCTCTCTGTTTACGCTTTCCAAAGACCCTTAGAAATATATTAAAAAAGCAAATTTAGTTGAAGTCCTCCTCAAAATGTCGGGCGCAACTTCTCTATGGTAATTTCATGTAGAGTAGGTCAAATTGATACTTTGCAGGCCCTTCCTTCCGCATACAACTCACTTCCGGTCCGGCACCTTTAAAAGTTCCACTGTCTTCCTTTCGCTAATGCCCGTCTAGGAATTCAACTTCCTGGATGTTTCACACGGACCTCTTTCTTTGTGACACCAGCCTGCTCTTCCCACGCTATTGTTCGTGAGTTTCGATTTTACAGTTGCGCACACGGCTCCATCTTCACCACAGGAATGTTAAACAATAAGCGTTTTTACAGTTTTTAAAGGCTTCAATCAACTTTTTTCTCTCCGGAATCGGATTTCTGGGATTTACTATTCATTTTCCGCTCAACCGCTTAATTCAAATTGACTCCAAACTCAGTTCAGGTAAGCGGCACGTTTTTGTTATCTAGCACGTTCAAAACGGGTTTCGCATTGTTTCTTTTAACTCACAGTTGTTGTCCTTCTTCAAAGAAGTCTGCTGACGAAGAATTTATGCCGGTAGCCCGGCTCGATCGGCCACTATAGAGTTGCTTGGCACTTGCCTTCTTCGTGGGAGGAGGTCAAAGCCCAATTCAGCTTCTTCCGAAGCTGGATTACGCCAACCTCACACTCCCTCTAGGGCGCTGCTGCCTGCTTGTCCCCCCCCCTCGCTGGGGAGTGATGCGTTGGGCTGTATATTGCCCAAACTGTCAAAAGTGGCCGTCGCTCGCTTCGCACGATTGCGAAACGCTTCAGTCCTCCATCTTAGCTAGACCGGAAGCCCCATTGGCCATATAGCTGTTGATTTAGGTTTTCCAAGTCAGGCCATACCCATACAATTCAGCGACACTACTGCGGGTCGCCTTACTGGTGTGCCCCAACACCAGTATTGTGTTGGATAATGGGTGAGTGGGAACTGCTTCTTTTGATATCTATCAAATGTAGGAATAAAAGGATCTCTGGTGCCTCAGGAAGACAGGATCGCAATGAATCTCTCACATCCTGGAAATGAATCCATGTGTCCAAGGGAGCAGACGACACATAAACTGGTCAACTATATGTTACTTTTAGTTGTGATTTGACAGTTGAATTTCAAACACAAGAGCATAAGACCTGTTTGAGAGGCCCACATGAGAATGAACACAGTTTAAATGTCACCGTTCTTCTCAAGCTCTTCCCCCTCGGGCTTTCGTGTACAGTCATCCCAGTTTCTCCTGTGGTCATATGTGATATCAACTCTTCCAGTGGAGCAGCTAGAATGCTGGATTAGGGCTTGGAAGACCCAGATTCAGATCCCCACTCTACCATGGAAAACTTGGCTTGGGTGACCCTGGGTCAGATGTTCTCTCTTAGCTTGGAGTACAGCACAGAGTTATTGTGATGACGACAATGGAAAAAAGGAGAACCCTGTGAGCTATCCCGAGCTCCCCAGAGGAAGGGCAAGATAAAATGTGGTAGACAGAGAGATGGCAAGCCCAAACTGTAGGGCTTCTCACATGTATAGACACCAGTCCATTTTTCTAGATGAAAAGGACTGTGCACTCTAAATTACATAAGGAACACTGTGGCCAGATTTTAATGAGATATGAACAAACCAAGGACTGGATCTAGTAGAGCAGGAAAGCTTTGGAAGGAGTTGGCAGATTAGATTGTTTTCTGTCTCACCTAACAGTCAACTACTTGTCCCAAAAATCCTATCAGGGTTAGGTGAACCCCATGGACAATATGGACCACTGGAGAGAGCCAGTTTAGTGTAGTGGTTAAGTGCACGGACCCTAATCTGGAAGAACTGAGTTTGGTTCCCCACTCCTCCACTTGCACCTGCTGGAAGACCTTGGGCAAACCATAGTTCTGGCACAGCTGTTCTTGAAAAAGAGCAGTTTCTGTCAGAGCTCTCTCAGCCCCACCTACCTCACAGGGTGCCTGTTGTGGGGAGGGGAAGGGAAAGGAATTTGTAAGCCACTCTAAGACTCCTTTGAGTAGTGAAGGGTGGGGTATAAATCCAATCTCTTCTCTTCTTCACTGTACCAGAGAGGTGAGGATGAAATGAAGGGAAATTGTGCAAAATTATCTCCTCCTCCACCTTCCCCCGGTGGCTTACACTGGATCTGATCGAAACACCTGCACTAGAGTTGGTGTTGTTTGCTGAGTTGATCTCTATAGTACTTCTAATTGGGGTTTCCTATAAACATGTTACATCTTTATTGTGTCCTTTCCGATTCTGTAATCCACTGAAATCTCCCCAGTACTACAGAGCCAATGCCAAGCCATTTTCAGGCAGCATCTCCCATTCCACTCCTGTCTTTCTGCCCCAATTCATTGTTGTCTCCTTTTGCTGCAGCCACTGCCCAGCTGCTTACCTTTTCAGCTACGTCTGCCAGATCCAGACTTTGCAGTTTCCCTGCAAGTTGATCCAGGAGTCGAGACTGTTCCTCTTCTTTAACCTTGAATTCTGTTTCATTGATCAAACTTTCAACTTCCAGGCGCAGTTCAGCTGACTGCTCTATTATGCTGCCAGGAAGAAGAGTGGAGGCATTCACTCTCTCTTCTGCAGCCAGAGACATTTGGAAATATTTGGTGATGCTGTCTAAGGCCCCTGCAGAAATCAAACAGTACAGTAATCAAGGCTGTTTCGTTGTGCAAGGCACAATGTAAACCACATACATGCAGAGAGAGTCCAGCTGAGGACAAAGGCTGTCCCTTCACAAAGCCACAAAACAAAAACTTTTATAGTTGGGTTCTTGCCTACAGTTGAGCCATGGGTTAAGGTTGTTTCACAAGCTGCATGAGGCATGTTCTTACCCTGCCACTGATACTATCACACAGTACCCTTTCCCCCGACAAGCCAAAACTCAGCAGAGCACATGTTTTGCATGCATAAGGCCCCATATTCACCCTCTGGCATCTCCAGTTTAAAAGGCTACCAGGTAGCAGGGCTGTGAAGGGCCCCTCTTTTAAAGAGCTGCACTAGTCTCACCCATAAATTATGGGGTCATTTCGTAGAAAAAGAGCTAGGGGAACTCATTAGCATAACCCACTAGCATATACCACACCACCTGACATCACCAGAAGTGTGTTATAAGGCCACACCTCCTGACATCACCGGAAATGTGTCATAAGGCCACACACCCCACCCCCAACAGTCCCGGCTGCCGGTGCCGGCCTTGCAGCTCCACTGCCGAGCCCCATGAGTGGCCCGGCGGTGGACCTGCAAGGCCGGCGGGAGTGCAAGGAAGCCCCGCGAAGGCCCTCCCTGGCCCCAGGCAGGCAGGGGTGGGGAGAGGCAGGGAGGAAGCAACTTACCCTCCTCCTGCCTCCTCCTGGCTGAATGAGGGCCGGAAGCAGGGGGCGGGGCTTCGTCATGTGCCCCACCCCCCCGTACCTCACCTGGGGGAACTGCATTCCCCCGCGTTCCCCCCCGAAATGACCTCTGCCCATAATGGATTAAAAGGATCAACCATTTGATTCAGTGTCAAGCACCTCAATATGTTCAAAATTAAATGGCTTTCAGTGAATCCAGTGATGTACTGATTTGCTGCCAACTGCCCCAATCCTGTTAGGGTCTATGCACGCATGGTATGTGCATCTGTAGACAGCAAGAAAATCTGTGCACAAACAGCTACCGTACAGGCAGATTCTCTCCCCCTCTTATGCAGAGAGGCCAGAGTTGTGTATGTGAAATCCTGTTAAAAAACAGCCATTGTGCCCATCATTAACCACACTGCTTCCTTTGCACCACCAAATGGGTCTCTAAGAACAATTTCTGGGTTGGGGGGGGGGGAACACTCTGTGTGTACACCCCTGCCTGCCTGCTACATGCAGTTCAGTTATGGCCCTAAGTTTATATTTCTCATCAAGTACTGTGAATCATTACTACATAAATATCCTACCACTCTGCTCAGCAAAATCCGACACCTTCCTCCAATAGAAATGCTCAGTGGAAGAGAAACTTGGGTCAGAGGAAGGGTCCTTAGGCTGAAGGAAGGCCTCAGTCTTTGTTGAATGGAATTAAAGGATTCTGTTCAGGAAGAATATGGGTCGGAATTACATGTAACTGGAACAACAAATCTACGGTGCAACCTTAATTTATTTAATAAGAATGAGAATGGGAAGGGCCACGGCTCAGTGGTAGAGCATCAGATTGCCTGGCATGAAGAAGGTTCCAAGCTCAATCTCTGGCATCTCCAGCTAGAAGAACCAGGTGGTAGGCGATGTGAAAGACCTCTGCCCGAGACCCTGGAGAGCTGCTGCCAGTCTGAGCAGACAATACTGACCTTGATGCCCTGATTCAGTATAAGGCAGCTCCAAGTGTCCAAATAGAGGCACAATATAGAATTACAAGAAGACAATACACGGGTCACCAATGTTGTTCAATTTATATTTTAAGAGGGCTCCCACTAAGAAAACCAAGGACAGCCATCAGTCTACTGTACTGAAATCAATAGGGATTAAACATGTTCACCTTTGGTTAGTTCATCCCCCCCAACTCTTTCACCTTCTAATTAAAAAGACACATACAAAAGCAACAACACATGTGACAAAACTGACCCCGAATATCGGAGTTTTTCATTAACTCCAGTTGTTCTGCAATTGTCTTCACAACACTGTCTACATTCTTCGCATCTGACTCTAGGTCATTCAACTGACTGTCCATGCTTTTGCTTTCTGATGCCACCTTGGATAGTTTTTCTTCTATTTCTTCTATCTTTTCTGTAACATCTGCTGTTAGTTTCCTGTGAACCAAAGACATTTAGTGTTACAGAACAAAAACTACTGGCCTTGGATTTTTTTAAAAAATGCCCTAAATGATAGGCTAATTCCTTCCTTTCCTTCCCTACAATGTGGTCAATTGTTTTGTTACAACTTCCTTAACCTAAAATACTGCTTTATCAGAAGATGCCACTTTTTATCACCACGACTTTATAAACACAAGACAGCAAAAGTCTCATAAACAGATGGGTTGTGTGAGATTTAACTTGAACTGTATTCCAGAAGTCTGGTTTAAAGCCCGTAACTGCACAGGTCAGAGTGTTGACTGTTAGAATCCATACATAGTTACCAAATGGTTTTTTAAGAAACAATTATTTTTACAGACTATGGGTTGGACTAGTTTCAGGAGGTGGGGAGGAGGAACCGTGCTCAATAGATTCTTTTCAACACTCTGTAAAACACAAAATAAAACAGAAATGTGAGAGCTGGCTGTGTAAAAGTTTTAACTGGCTGCACGCAAAGGAGATTTCACAAGACTGGATATAAGCAATTTTGGAGAGCAGGGCTCAGATCTGTCTTTAATCCCAGAATTCAGTCCTTGGAGGTCTGTAAATTAATATTATTCGTATAGAGTCAGCCCCATAAGAAAGTAAATGGCACGTGAATGTATTTCTGTGGGATAATTAAATGAAAAATGAAAATCCCCTTACAGTTCTGCTAGACCTGTTGCCCTAGACAATGACACTCTTCTTCGTAGGGCTATTCTTGAAAACAAAGAATCTACTTACCTTTCAGGTTGGTTCCTACTAACAAACCATTACACAAATTTCAGCTAAGTTTACAAAAGCAGGCCACGGTCACTTGCTATAACATGAGGAAAGCCAGCTTCAATGCATTATTCTATCTTTAGCTTGCTGGTATCACCAACCAGAATCCAGGCCCTGATAAGAACTCCACATGTTTCCTTCTTCTCCTATCATAATATATCATTGGGAAAACAACATCAGGGGAAGGCCTTGGCCTCTATGCCCTATTGTTGCCCTTCAGAGTAACTGGTTGGCCATTGTGTAAGACAGGATGTTGAACTAGATTGACCAGTGGTCTGATCCAGCAGGACTCTTTTGGTGTTCTTATGACTGGTTTTGACCCCATGCAAATGCAAAATGGAGAGAAATGTCCATCTTTACACTAAATGTTGAGATAATCCAACAGACACTGCTCAGGTGATATATGACAAGCCAGTGATTCTTTCCCATATATGTAAATATAGTCTGTTTATAGTTGTCAGGGCTGTTGTGCTGCAAATCAATCATGTTAGATGGCCTAAATGTGGTATATGAAGCATGGACAAACCTCAATCCTTGTACATGATCCAGGATTGTAGATGGTGTATTTGCTTCCTTTTGCTAACATGATTTAAGTATTTAAATAATTTACTTAAATTTGAACACGTTTTTCCAGAAAACCCACATCACTGATGACAGCTATTATCTTAGTCATTAATGTTATGTTCAGGAGAGTTACAAGCAGGCCCGTAGCCAGGATTTAATAATTCAGGGGGCCTGAATTATGATGTCACAAAATAAAATAAAAAACTCACTTTTGTAGCATTCACACTCTGCCTGCCTACGCAGGGAAGCAAGCCACACTTGGGGAAAGGGAGGTGGTGGGGAATCCACTGGGTGGCTCAGAGAGTTGGTAGTCCTCCAGGCAGCCCAGAGAGCTGGGGGGTGAGGGCTGGATGGACGTTGGGGGGG